TAAATAATATATATATACATATATATATATATATATATATATATATATACATACATACATATATGGTAAATACATATTTATTGGTAATATTTTATATATGTAAAATATAAATATTACAAAGATTTTTTTTATTTTTTAAGTAAAAGTATTGCATTTTATGTTAAAAAGAAAAAATCTTGAATTGATATGTAATAATTATTTACACGTTTATCCTGTAGGCACTTCCAATGTAAATTGGAATATATATATTGACAGCATATAACTATTTCTTCTGTAATCAATATTCATATAAGACTGGGGGACCTTGGCTAATATACTTCCAATGTAAATGTAATATTGTGTAATTATTGACATGTAATATTGACAGCACATTACTATTTCTTCAGTAATCAATAATTACATAAGACTGGACAATCTTAGCCAATGCACTTCCAATATAAATGCAATAATGTATAATTATTGGCAGCACATTATTATTTCTTCTATAATCAATATTCATATAAGACTGAGCGATTTTGGCCAATGCACTTCCAATATAAACGCAATACTGTGTAATTATTGGACATTGTAACATTAGTAATACATTTGCATTTATTCCATAACCAATATATCGCCAACGTTGAGCCAATGCATTGTGCTACTAGGGATATTAATGAATGAACAATCATTACTGATTATTATAATATAAAATAATTTATGACTGAATTATATGATTATAAACAATCATATATTTGATCAAAAAAATTTGCTTACAATAAAATTTAAAAATGTAATAATGTCCTCTCTTTCTAAAACACTGCTGAATTTATAAAAAAAAAATAAAAAGTAAATAGGAATGTTTCTACAATCAACCCTAGTTTCGACCGATATATGTTATAAATAAAAATATTTTTACAATTACTGTCAAATGTTTAACTTAATAAAATCGGTATATCACAGTAAATTTCAAATATTGACACTATCTTTTACTTATAATATTATCGATATAATATATATTATCTATATACTATATATTACCAATAGAATTCTATTTATGGAGATCATTAAAATACAAATTACATGTAGACATTTAAGTTTTAAATTCAATATACACATATATTATCAAAGCAAGATTTTTCATGTTTTATGAAAAACTATGTTAAATATAGATAAAAAACATTTATATAATATTGTCAATAATGTGTATAATAGTGTCAATAAATACTAAAAAATATAATCAAATAGAATATACATGTATTTATACAATGATCTAATTTTTGTCATACAATTTTTATATTTACGTATCATATCCATATAAATGTCCTTCTGCATATGCTCTTGGCATATCAAGAGAATTTCTACGAATTCTTCTGCCAATTGGTTCTAAATCATTATAGCATTTTGTAAATACTCTTTCTATAGCTGCATTTGCTACTGCGTCCGATACTTTGTGCACAGCCATTACTGACAGCTTAGCTTTATGTTTCACACAATTCTAAATAAATAATATTATATATTAATATATATTCCAGCAAATAAGTTTATTTGCAAGAATGAATGTAATTGTGATCAAATCATTCTTAGAATTATTTACCTGATGTGTTGCTTTTATATTAATCAAAGATGAGTCGCCTTGCAATAACGAACTCATAAAACTACAGTGTCCAAGATTCGCTGCTCTAATTTCTGTACAGGCTAAATGATCAATGTTTTTCATATCAAGTTTATTACGACAGTAGTCAAACATATGAATCATTTCATGTAGAAGAACTCCCCGAACCATGTTTTCATTAGATGCTGTATTTTGACAGATAACTATCTATAAAGAAAATAAATATATATAAATTATATATATATATATATATATATATATATATTATATAATTTTTTTTTTCAAAAATGAAATAGGTTCCATTTATAAAGACACAAAAATAAATTTATATCATTTTACTCTTTTTATTTCATCTTTATAATATAAGAAATGTCTTACTATCTTTAATACATTTATAAACATTATATTCGCATTTATTTCTGTCTATTGATTCTCGTCCCTGAATGCCAATTAATTTTTTAAACCAGCTTTGCTTAATATTTCCTCTTCTTTCAGGATACATATCACCTCCCCATAATTCACCGTCCTTAATCGTTTCACCGTAAACATCGCTCTCATCTCTTTTTCTTTCATCCGCATTCTTATTCTCAACTGTCATCGTTGCACGAATAGAAAAACTGATGCAATAGAAATAAATTTACTTAAATAATTGTTAATTGCACAAAAATTTATCGTACTATCAGTTAAATACTCTCTGGCAATAATAGAACAAGTACATCCTTAAAGGTTATAATAGATCATTACATCACACTCAGGGCCATAGCACATAGAAAAACGTAGGCAATAAGGGCCTATCCAGCAAACTTGCATAGCAGCACAACCATATGCATAAGAAAAGTTAATATCGCATTTCTATCATACGGACACATGTAAAATACGATTGGATAATTTTCTTTATGCAATGGTTATGCTACTATGCCAAGTTTGTTTGTATAGGCCCTAAGCTTAAAAAGTAAGAAAATTCACCATTCACATTCGATTATTCTTACAATTAAATCGTTATTGATTGGTCACTTTTTTTACTATTTACATCTTACTGCTTAAGTTTTTTTATGTGCACGGCTCTCATACAATATAAAGGTAAATATTAAGTTTAGGAATCTCACATCTGATTTCGATAAAATTAGGCTCATTCGACGCGTTTTTGCACGAAACGAAAGAATCTGGCGCTCTGGAGCGAAAAAAGTGTCGCTCTGCCCCGCGAGCCGAGATATTAGTCGTTAAAGTTTGCGTTATTCAAGGTTAGGAAACCTGTCTTATTGACGAAGGGTGCGTTCCTTTATTCACTTCGAGTACTGTCAGTACTACGAATAATGTTCCGATATAGAGAGCGGTGCACTACGAAAGTACTGCCTTGAATTCTATGACGTCATTGATTTTGACTTCCTGTTGCGGCTATTGCAACCAGCGAGGTAAAATAGTTAGAGCACAAAGATGGCTGCTTCCATCTTTGGAAACTAAAATAACCTTGATTGAAGCTGAAGAAAATAAAGCGTATAATATGAAATAATATAATAAAATTATTATGATATTATATAATATTATGAAATTATTTATTATTATTAATTATTTTTTTATTATTGTTAATATTATTATTAATTTTTTTATTATTATTAATTATTTATATATATTATATTTAATATATATAATAAAATCATATTTTCTTTAATATTACATATGCCAGCTATGTTCAATTGAGCTTGAAAACATACTGCAACTGCGTTTCGTTTTATAATCTTGAAGCAATTAGAAAGCGCACGAAACTAAAACAGAACGATAGCCGCAGTACACTTCCATTACAAAGTCATAACAAAGTTTTTGCATAGTATTCGCTAGGGGATCAATCATGTAACTTTTCCCCTAAGGCGGAAACATGAAAAGTGAAAAGTTTCACGTGAACTTACGATCATCTACGATTTTGCGGGATTATATAACTCTCTCAAACGTGAAAATGTGAAATTTTTCACATGAATTTTTTCGCCATATACCTTGATGGCGGAATTGCGGAAATTTAGGGAATTAATAAATATGCTTCAGAATTAAAGAAGATTAGGGCTGCGTTAGGATTAAGTGTACGTAGTACATATACAATTAGTTATTAAAAGATGTATAATATATAATACTATACCATCGACGAGATACTATTAAAGATCGACAACGTGGATAATTTTCATCACCATTAAAGGAGCCTCGGGAGCCCGGGGATAATTGAAGAACGTTGATATTACCGACAGTTTGATTGTTCCGTAGATAAATTAATGAAGATATAACTGTGATAAAATGGATGAAAGATAAAACAGGAATTATCATATGAGTTAAATTAGAAAATATTTTACCTATAAGAAAATATTTTATAATTTCTTTAATATTTAAATTTGTTTATTTAGTTAACAATTATATTACAATTATATATTATAAATTATATTATAAAATTAAAAAATTATATTATAAAAATGTATACATTAACATATATTAAATAAAATTATATATGTATTGTATAATGATTAAAGGTAATAAATTGTTATTTTGATGTCAAAAATATGTGACATTTATAAAAAAAAGATTCTATTACTTTCTCCTTGCTGCACTCCTTTTATATACTCTGCCAATATATTATAATATATTATTTTG